TAGTAGGCCTTTAAGGAAAAGAAAAACTAAAGGTTCTTCAATAATTTAATATAAAATTAGTTACTTCTCAGGTCCAAAGCAACGTCGCAATCCATGATACAGATTGTCCATAACAATAAACAATTCCAATACTGGCATTTTGATACAAAGCTACACTACCAATTTTGTCTTTAAAATTTAAGTGTCTTTCCAAGTCGAGAGATGTTTAGGAGCCCAAAACGAGCGGTAAAAATTTAGATTCATTAGTTTCCCACCATTTTTAGAACTGTCAAGTGTCAACGCCTGCCAAGAATAATAGATCTGCCACAAAGGGGACATTTTCTTTGGTCAACTGGTTTTGAGTTTTCTTCGGTTATTCCGTCCTGTAATGTGTTATCCCCATGATAAGGGGTTCTCCACAGCTGAAATGCGATTGCCAATACGGGCAGATAGAATTTGTAGTAGAAAAACACCAGGATGGGATAGAAAAATGGCAGTGACAGGCACAGGAGGCACATGTTGACGTCTGGTGTTTTTATTTTTTTAACGTCATCTATTTCCGTGTGCGGCGGGAACTATGATTAATTTCTGTTCCGATAGATCTGCGTGGAGACTCAAGGCCCACTCGGATAGTGCACTCATAATTTATGGCGGCAGTGGCTGCCATCATAATTAGCATTGCAATCTAAATCAAAATATTTACAAATCAATTATTGTGATTAGCGACCGCCGCCGCAACTTCCACCATAATCGATCACCCAGCTGGTGCATTTATCGCTCAGGTCTCCATTCTATAATCCATACCCCCAATCGACTTGGTGGCGACGACAGCATTTCACAGTAATCATAATTTGCATTGGTCTTAACCCGTTGGAATATATATATATATTCTTGGGATATATTGTGACAGAAAAAGTATGTATATCGATCAAGATCGGTTCGTTAATCTATTACTCAGCATGTAATGTTTAATTATTTATTTATTTTACAATTAACAACTTGAGAAACGGTTTATCAATCAATTTCTATAATTATTTATTTGTTTACTTTCTGTTGAGACCATTAGTAGCCATGTTATTTATTAAGAATGCAGCTTGCCCTATTTTTAAATAGTAAATAAAAAGGATTGGGAGTATAAAAAATATTATGCTATATTATAAATATATAATATATCCTTCAAAAATTTTGCGTTTGATTAGTAAATATTTTTTATAATTTTATGATTGTTAAACTTTTAAGTTTCCGGTAAAAAAATTAACAAAATGCCTGACAATTGGACAAAATAACGAAACATCTGCGTAAAAAAAATGTTAAGAAGGTTTTGCAATTTAATTAATATTTTTTTTTCGATGATGTAAAAATAATTTGGTAAACTTTATAATAACCCCCACATAATATATCTTTTCCTAGCTGGGGGTTAACATGTTATCGTGTCAGCAGGCGACTTGTAGCTGGCCACTCGGCTAAAGACAAAAGACAGCCTTTGGCGACACAATCAGTTCGAGATTTGTTTTTAATTGATTCGAATCGATTCGATTCGAATTGAATTGACTTTCTGTCAGTCTGTGTGTCGGCTGCTGGCTGAATGTTCGTCGCCATTTGCTGACAGGCGGCTATTACAATTTTATTAACATAAATTATTGCGTCCAGATCGATCCACTCGCTATATAAGTGGCCTACAACTAATGGAAGCTTAATGGTTGTTAATGGAATTCCTCACCAAAATATTATATCGAGCGAATGTGCTTTTGATTGGCGATCTGCTATCAATTAATACTCATATCACCATATCATATCAGCGAAATAACTTGGGATCTTATTCAACTGAGGAATCATGTTGGCTGACAGTGGACATGACAATATATATTCTGTAATTGAATATCGCACTGATACTGATGGCAATCTAAATACGATTCTGTCTGTGATCTGTGAACATGGAAAAGCCGCCAACCTTGAGGCCAATCGCCTGCGCGTTTTTAATCGCTAGGAAAACGCGTGCGATCGCCGCAAGGTGTAAAAGACTGGAAGTCAGGTTTACGAAGATCCCTCGAGCGGTGGGGGTTACCCAGAACCAGCTGCTATAGATTGGGCTATTTAAACACCTTAACGGGCTTCACTTGCCACATTTTCGGTCGGCCACGGTTTTTAATTAATCTAACATCTTGCCCATGGAACTTATATACTTGTAAGGCTTACGCGGAAAAAGGGTCAGAGGTCGTTGAGGCGAGCACATTAGGCAGGAACACTCGACCGACGGGTTAATTAAGTCATTAGCCCGAAAATGTCCTGCTGCTGCCGCTGCTCCTGCGCATAATTAATCATTTTAATTGTCTGACTGCATACCGAAGGATAATGGGGAAGCGGTGAAGAAATTTAGAAAGACCAGAGGGCAGATCGACATTCAAAAGGTTGCTTTGGAAAACCGCGGGGGAGTTTGCCCTGTCTTGGGTTATTTATAGGCATAGGGATATTTGGCATGTGCTCCTCGTTTCACAGGCGTCAAATTCTCGGGCACAAAATGTTGTCATTCCGCTTAATTGAGTTAATTGTTTTGGGGGCAGCCCTTTTTGTGGCCTGGCGAAATCACTTAGAGCACTTACCAGCAAGCATTTCAAAATAAATTTTAAGTTCAAAGTTTTGTTAATTGGGGAAAGGAAGGGTCTAAACTGCAGAGTTGTTTCTGCAAATAATAATAATATAGGTATATATAGAGAAAGGACCTAAGAATACGATATTTAACCCACTAATATTAAATCATTCTATCACATTGTCTTAATTTTTGGTGTTTACATCTTATAGTCTGCATAAAATATTATATAAATTACAAAACCTTTAAATAATTAAATATTTTTTCTTTGGCCGTGTAAAGCAAATATGGTAAATCCAGAAACTCATTATACATTTGATTATTTTCCTAACAAATATGGTCCAAAATCCACCACATCTGTTATAAATATTAATTTCGGTACTTGTAACCTAGATAGCGCCACTTAATAATATTTTAGGATACCTACAAAAAGGGTTCATCCTCGAAACTGATATTTCATATCAACAAAGCTTACATTGCAACGTGAAAAACAGTCCAGGTATTTACTATACGACTGTGCTAATCAGTAGCCGACCTGTGGTTCCCACCTGCAACGCCCACTTCACGACGCGGTCATCAAGAATGACGTTGGCGACTCCCCCGGAATATTTCTGCAATTTCTATAGTTCCTCAGACACTGTCAAGTTCATTGTTCACACAAATATATATTGTGAACCATGTGATATTTTTTCTAATCTCCATCTAAATAGATAAGATAAATTTTATTCAAAGAAGTTTGCGCATTTCTGCTTTGACTTTCTATTGACGTGGGCTGTATTTTCTGGCTAAATGTTGTTTTGCAATTTTTGGTCAACATCTAAAATTAGCTAGACGTTCCAGTGACCAGAAATACATTTAGTGATTTATTAATAAGTTCATTGCAGCGATAGGAAAATAAGCTGGTCAAAGTTTAGAGCTTATCAATGTGATGATAATCGACTTTATTATGAAATGGGTCTCCCACGCGACTGATTCACAGCCGTATTTACCTCCATAATAAAGGGCATTGTGACGTCTATCGGTGCACTTCGGGCTGTTAGTTATATGGTATTTGTGCAAATCAACGCTACCTGGCGAAATACGAAAAAAAAACTGGAAAATGTCTACGCGCCGAAAAGCACAAACGCCACCCAGCCACCAAAAACAATCCGCACAAATACAATCAGGAAAAAAAGCAACTGCAATCACCCCGCTCACACTGTCAGTTGGCAAAATAGCACGTGATGGGGATCTATGATTGGGGTTATTGATTTGGGAAAGCGGAATATCACCAAATCCGAATTAAAATTAGCATACCTTCTAATAAATTTGATCTTATTTATTAATCATGGGTCTTGGTTATTTTCCAAGGCTGGATAATTAGATGGACTGATATTTCTTTTAACTATAAAAAAAGTTGCTTAAGTCCAGTTATGCAACATATAGCCTACCTTCGAGCGCCAATTTTATAAGTCCTAACAAATGTTTTTCTAGAAAGTCTAGGCCTGCAGTTATTGGAGTTTATCAATAACACTTTCTGAGCAGAAAAAATATTTGGCTTGATTTGCTTAGCTTAAATACAGTTTGGGAATCTTTAAAGGAATAAAGGAAAGGAATGGATACTTAAAGGGATTAAAGTATGCTAATTGTAGCATTATTCTTACAGTACAATAAATAATAAATTTAACTATTCAACATTTTAAACTATTTAATTTCTAAAATCGAATTTCCATTGGAAAATACAACTTTTTTATTGCTGTTACTTTAGTAAAAATGTTGTAAAATTATTCTTAAATCAATTATACATATTTCGTATCCCGTTCTTATATATTTTATCTACAAATAATTATTATTTTCGATATATTTCTTCTATATTTTTTCAAATAAAATAAGAATATATTTAGTAAATAAAATAAGGAATTTTAAAAGAACCCCAAAATAAAAAAAAAAACTAAAAATAAACCTTATAAGTAAGGCCTGCATAAAATAACATATACTTAATTTTCTTCAAGCATTTTCATATGTAAACTAATATCAAAATGTATTAATGACAACATAATTTTATCAATGAACGATATCAATTCGAGTCTTCTACAAAGTCTCTTATACTCGTAGTTTTGATGTTTTCGGGTTGTTGCTAATAGATGAATCATATGTGGTTCCATGAAATTTAGCACAGACCGTTTCATTGTCGTCTGAGGCACTTTTGTCAGATCAGAAGGATGAATTGGGAATCACGGATATACCGGGCGATGGTACCCTTCCTATATGTAGTGCCGTAGTGGACCATTCTTTCACTTACCTGATTCGCCCACTACTCGCTCTCACTCACTCTCTCGCGCGCGTCCCGCCGCACTCTTTCTCCCTCGTTCGCTCCGCAGCAAACGTGCTCGGCTGAACTGAACTGAACGCACGAAGCGTCGCCTCATCGACAGGGTCTTTCAGTCTCTGACTAGCTCGCCTTGGGAACACACAGTGAGCGGAGCGTCCGCAGTCGCAGTAGCACTCGAAGTCCGCATCCGCAACGTTTTCGAATACGTTTTTCAAACACATCCGTATCCTAACCAACTCAATCTGTCCCAATCGATCGCGTCCGTAATCGCGTCTTTTTGCCGTACTCGATGTTCCGGTCTTATGTGAAATCGTGTCCAAAGGAGTTCGAAACATTAATCTCATCGGATTTGAAATTGGAAACACAAAAGTTCGTTTCGAAACCCAAGTATTGCTGGCCAAGAGAGTCGTTACAATTTAAAAAGGCAGCTATAATCGTTTAATTTACGAGCAATTCGAGGAGCAGAATATATATTAAAAGTATATATGGTTAGTGTTGTGTTAAAAAAAAAGAATATCAAAAAATTTATGAAAATGTTGAATTGTTGTTGCCATAAGTTTTAAAGTGTGCAAAGTGCAACTCTCTTAAAATCAACGAATAATACAACGCGTCCAAAAAAAGAATCGTAAAACTGAAAAAAGCAAACAAACATAAAAATAAGGTGCGTAATTTTTTCTGTTTCAATGCTATTACATAAGTTCTTTTTTAGTAAGTTTGTTGTTGCTAGAAATATTTCTTCAAACGTTGCAAAATAATTCTGAGTCTTTTTGTCTTTGGTGCCATTGTTCCTAAGCCAATAATTAATAAAAGTATTTGGCCGAACAAAAAAAGAAATTATTTTTAAATATTACTAGAATAGTTGTTTGAAAAATTTGGAAATACTAGAATTCAAACATATATCCAGTTCTTTGTACTTTGGCCTTTTACGCTTAAGCATTTTAATAAAATATATTTCGTGCTTTGAGTTTGTGGAATTGTGGCGAAATATTTGGTATTTTTTAAATAAATTGAAATCATTTTCCACTTGGCAGCGGGCCGAGAGATAAGTGTATTTAAATGTCCCATGAGGGAAAGTAATTAAATAACAAATTGTGTAAATTCGAATTAAAATCATTTCAAACAAGCGAATAGCAAGCAAAGGCAAACGGTGAAAAAAATGAATTTTCTATTAGTGGAATGCTAATTGACTTCAATTTAATTCAAATTTGATTAGATTTCCACACTCATGAAATATATTACTTAAGCCGTAATCTGAATGCATTTAGCTATAAACAAATTAAATGTGATTTACGGCTAAGTAGAAAACAAGTTTTTCCAAGTACTTTTCCGCCTTAATCTGCCCCAAATAAACAATAAGTAAAACAAACAAAAAATGGCGAAAATATTTTTTTACAAAGTGGTGAAAGCAAACGAAACGACCTTAGGAGAACCTACTCTATAAAAGCGAAATTTATATAAATTTAATCACACACACTTTGTGATTATTTATAGTTTTGCGAAAAGCATCCACATTTGCGAATCTTTATCGCCGTCTGCAGATGTATCTGTATCTGTATCTGCGAATTGTGCGTATCTTTATTTGCAAACGCACGCAGGCGCTTTTAATCTCAATTCACAGAACTTTTTTCCTATAATTTCTTTTTTTTGTATTTTTTTTGTGTCTGCTCTGCGCGTGCAGTTTTTTGTCCTATAAATTGGTGGCGTCGACTATTATCTAACATTGTGCGCTATTATCTAAGCTGAGTTGTTGTTCTTGCTGTTGTTTTCTGTGGCGTATCTGTGTGTGCGAATTTGCGTGATTGTCGCGTCAAAAGGCACGCATGTGTGCGTCGGGTTCAACAACTGCTAATCACATGGCGGATCATAGTTTGCGAAATATGGGGATCGCGATAAAGAATATAACTGAATGGATTGGACAGAGATTGTGTGCTGAAGGTGATATCTTTCATAATTAATGGCACCCCTAGTGCTTAACTCAAATCGGATTATTTATAGAAACTATTAACTTTTTAGTATTTCTCAGATATTTACGAGACCATTTTTCACATTCATTTTGGGGCTAGGGAAAATATTTAAATACTGTTTTTATTGGTCCTTTGAATTTGTTTGTAATTTTGGTTAAAAAAACTTTTTTAATCTACATTATTTTCTAAAAATTTAATTTTTTGTTTTTAAAAACTTTTTATATTTATATTCAGACAGATCAGGTAAATAACTTGTTTAAAACTCATTGTATAACTTGAACATTTTCTAAGTAAATTAGTTTCCCTATAATATTATATATTCTAATTGGTACAACACATTTTTGTAATCCTCTATAGTATATTTTTATATCCTGATCCAATTCGTTTTCCTTTTTTACTCAGCTCTCACGTCACAATTTCATTATCTTAAAAACGAGGAGTTATCAAGGGCAAAGAAAATACTTGACTAAATTGTTTGGTACCCCCCACAACATTTTTTTCTAGCTACGTCAATGTTGATTCAATAAGTGAAAAGTCAAACATAAAAAAAACCATTCATTAGTTTATTTAGAAAAGGCAAAAATGATTAAATAAATAGTATGGACAGGCCCGAATTAATTGAAATGGAAATTTAATTTTCGACAGTAAAAATTCCAAATTTCTTATGCCGATGGGACCCCGGAGACTGGCGTGTTTGCCCTCGGACTTGAGATGTCATAAAGCCAGCCAATTATCAAGTTTGTTCTGAAATGCGTGAGTTGGGTAACTTTTCGCTTGGGGCCTGTGACACATTTACAAATGGTGCTTGATTGATGATGGCAGAGGCAAAGTTTGAAATACAACTATCATAATTCGTAGATAAAGCTTATCGCTTGCAAAAAGTTTGAGAAGTGAGAAGTTTTACGGCCGTGCGTAAATAGTTTTGCGGTTTGTTTTCCTTTGGCCAAAAGTGGCGCATAATACTCGGAATGAAATGTCGACCATAACAGCGAAAAAAGGGAAATAAAATAAACTAAAGCCGGGGCGAGAAGAAAGGAAAAACCCAGTAAAACTGCAGCGTTTGTTTTAATGAAGCGTGAACACTAGACCACATAATGTGCGGCATACATTCGGAGAGCCACACACACGATCGCACATGGCAACAACTTTAGGTACACCCCTCAGTTAAAAAAAAAGTGAGCAACAAAAAACCGAAATGAAAACGAGAAAATCGTCGCGTTTTTTACTCTGGTTTGTTGTTGCCTTTTTTTGGCGGTTGACTTTATTTCTTAGTATTTATTTTTTTCGGCTGCTTGACGCATTTTAAAAATATCCTAGACGCAATTGTTGCTTTTGTTGGTATTATGGGGCTTGGCTGTCTGTTTGTCACATTACTAATACGTCGCGTTGTCTTTGATTTTCGTCGTCTTTTGTTGATTTTATTTTAAGGCGACGTATTGCTTTTAATTTTCGCACGTAAAGTGCGTGACTTTTAATTAGACTACAATAAATGTGCGAAAATGTGTGGGAGATGCGTCTGCCACTGGGCAAGTGTGTTAGTGAAGGCAAGAGATAGATTCTTAAGTGAGATACATGGGTGTAAAAGAGGCAGATACTGACCAAAATTCTTTGGGTACTTCCGCTAAAATCGAGATGTTGAAAAATAGGTTCTTAATAATGTAAAATGTATAAATACAGTCGAATGCCAACTAAAGTTGTTTACTTATATGTTGGCAAAAATGTGCCATTTTTTTAAAGATATTTTCATTCACTTAGTGACTAATTACTTTAACCATTTTCCGCTAAACTTTGGATGTTGTTATGTAGAATTTTGTTATACAAAATATCTTTCTTCTAGGAATATACAAATAAATGGTATATTAGAAAAAATGTTCTAGTTATTTTACAGAAACTTTCACTCATTTACTGACTAATTTATTTAACCATTTTCCGCATAACGTTGGATGTTGTTTTATAGAATTATAATATACACAATTCTTTAAAATATCTTTTTCCTAGGAATATCCTAGGATTATAATATTTTTTCTACAATGCTAACTTTAGAAAATTACACTCATTCTTTAACAATTCTTTTTAAAATTATATATGTTTTTATCTAGATTTTTGTTTTCTTGGATATATTGGAATATTTTACTATTACTATTTCTTCACAAAAAGAGTTACCCAAATTCTTTACTTGTTTTCTTGGAAATATGAGTCGTGTAGGATAGAAAACTGCATATAAATATTATAGAAGGTATTTTTTAAAAGCTTTGGAAGTACATTTATCTCTTTGGTCAAGAATATGTAACACTTTTCGTTCATGTTTTCCTTATAAATGTTTTAAATATTAACTTGTTGATAGAGATTACAATTTCTTTCTATCCTGAGGGCTGTGTGCAAATCTCTAACTCCCCTCCTTTCTATATGTTGTCAATATATCTGGCGACCGATATTTGCCTTGTTGTTAACACCGCCGCATGTGATTGAATTGCGATCGGGGTGTGTGCGTATATATCTCCGATTTTGCCCTCGCCTGTCTCGTGCACTAAATATTTAAAATAGCAGCATCTTGAGAGGATTTTTCCGCTGCCGCTGAGACTGCGGCAAAGGCAACCCAATTGCTTCCGGTTCAAATCGATTACACAAAAGCGCTGCCTTTGAGCGCTCAGGTTTTTTACTCGTACTTTTCCTTTTCCCCGGCGGCAGTGCTTTCCCCGTGGATTTCAGATTGTTGGCAAGTATCTAACAGTGATGCCTTCAAGTATCGTATCTTATGCCTGTTTCCATACAAATGAAGTGCACATCGATTAGTGCATTTGGCTGGCTGCCTGAGTTATGTTTCGGTATCTTTTTCATTTTCCCCGTTCGCTGCTTTTCTTGTTTTTCCAAAGAAAATTAATTGTTTTGTAAACACGGGAGTTGAATGGTGGGGCAGGGGGCTCCATTGATGGGGATGGGGGTTCAGTAGAGAGAGATCCAGATCGGCGACAATAATACACATCACCCTGTTTGCACTTTGATAGATATTCATCTATAAGGCTAGTTGTCAAGGAACACCACCGCACATCAATCTTTTGCTAAGCATTCCATAATACACAGATGTACGTATGAAACAAGTGTATTTATTCTCGTTCAATCTTGTGACAAGTGTCAACACCACAATGAACGTCAGACACTTAACGGGGAAAATAAATAGATATTCATCTTCTCTTGAACTAGAATTTCATTGTTAAACTCATATATATATTGGCATATTTGTTAAATTCTTTTCGCTTTCAGTTTGGCATTGAAATACTTTTTTTTCGCAGTAAGGAATATAATTAACTCAAATAGTTGCAACACTACATTGTTTTGTATATTCTTGGGCCTAATTTATTTTATTGCCCCAACCTAAGTTGGGCAAAAACCATAACCACAAAAGCCATGAATTGCACATGTAAGTGAAGAGTCTGGGAATTTGTGGTCTTGGGGCTGTTTTTTACTGCCAACCGCAAGAAGAATGAGATACGACACAACTAAATGATTTTCTGGGTAATGGATGCTCGTAATAAATATCACAAATTAGCATAGCTTCTGAAAACAAACAAATAAGTCATAGGAATAGAAAAAAGGTAAAATTTAACAAAATAAACTTGGCAAAAACAAATAAATATAATTAAAACAAGGTAACCTTCACTTTCAAAACGGTTCAACCTGTTCCGGTATTTGTTTCTGTTTTCTTCCAAATAAATACATAAAAATAAATACATAAAAATTAATACATATAAAACATCAACTTTATGCTAATCTCATCGCATATTTATTTTATTAGACTATTCAACTTTTATTCACCCGTTATAATAAATTATTTAAAATATTTTTCGGCACACAAGCTGGATGAGCCATTTGCATATTAGCAAAAACCTTAACTCAGTATAATAAAATTTACATATTTCCAACATTTCGGATTGTAATAAATGTCCAGAGAGGGTTTTTTGCTTTTGATTTTTACTAGGGGTAGCCAAGCGACTGACATGAACTAATTAAGTTGCGCAGCTCGGCTTAGATTTATCGCCATCCAGGCGATCCACATTAAAACAGCGGCTAGCGCAAATGTCAAACGCATTTCAAACGCATAAATTTAAGCGGTGTTCGTGAAAACGGCGGAAAAAACTAAACAAAACGAAATATGTATAACGAAATTTGCTAATCAGCTTGTGGAGCGACTGTCATTTCGGTTCAATGAGTAGGCCTAGGCTTCGGTTTCAGTGGCTTCCCAAAACCATCATGGAAACCCATAGCTAGAGATACTTATTTAAATATATTACTAGACCTTTTTGCTCGGCGACTTTGGTGACTTGTTGTCAAGCTGTTGGCGCCGACAACCTGCACAGATTATATTTTTAATGTATCAGACATCATATGGAATCTTAATGGACAATGGGATGCTTTTAAAAAGTCTACTATATGATATTTTCTTATTTGATACGTTTATTAAAAATTAAAATTAATTCAAATTCTTCAAAGAAAACGATTTAATTTACAATCAAGGTTTTGTTGCTTATAGTTTAGTTACTCAGTTGGTCTTATATTTGTTACATAGATTACGAAATTAATTATAATATTATTGCCAAATCATAGTTGCTGTCACAAATACCTCATTTACGCCCATTGTACAGCATTCAAGATCATTTTATTATAAAATGTATTCATTCTGTGACCAAAGATGCCGCCACACGTCGCTGGTCATTCATTTTTATACATTTTCTTTGAGTTTTTGGGCTTTGGTTGTCGCTGTTTTTTTTTTTTGTGATTTGGACATTTATTTGATTAGGCGACTGCCACCGAAGATTGCCATTTAAATTTGGGTTAAGTGAATTTCAAGTTTTATAACGGACCCGAATTTACTCGCACGACAAGTGTTAAGTGAATTCAAAGAGTTCTTTGGTTTTTCCCTACTCCATGATATAGGGGCTTGGGTTCACTGATCAGTGATTGGACTTTCGTTTTCGTTTTGAGGGCAGTAATTTGCCAGAGCAATCACAGTAATCAAGTTTTGACTTTGATTAAATGTTTCGGTCGATAATAGGTTTTTATACTTCCTCATGATGGGTCTTTTGGGGAATTAAAAGCACAAAAGATTTCGTTATTTTTTATGCTCATCATAATTTGTTGAATTGTGGAGGCAGATGAGCCGATGGTCTTAGATCGTAAAAAGAAGATACATTTATATTTTTGGGCCTACCAAACATAGGTGTGCATTTTAATACCATCTACATATTTAGGTATTTTTTTGTATTCCAGCGCTATTTTTACAACTTTCGGCATGTGTCAAGACACGCTTCCCTTTTGGTGTTTTTTTAATATTTTTCTTCCCTGTGCTTTTGTTGATGTGGTCGCTGAGGCTGGAACTTTTGTTGCCCTTTCAGAATTCCACATAAATTCTACTACTGAAAAAAAGATACATAAACAACGCCTTGAGACCGAATCTGCGGCTGGCTTGGCACACATTTTGCCTGCTGTGGCACATATATTTTTTATACACACTCGTATTTGGGTGAAAGGCATTAAACCGGCGAGAGGCAAAGATTTTTAATATATTTCTTGATCTTGTGAAGGATGATGGGAACTCAAAGAATTTTGCAGATTTTTATATTACACATATAATATTGGGTTTCTCTGATTCATCGGTTTTTGTTGGCCGCTTACTTTTTATAACTCTGTTGCCATGCAAATGCCGATTTTTACGATCTGAAGGGCTGAAAAGATTTGGGATTGGGAGGGTTTTTGGGTTGTGCAAGAAACAACTATATCACAAATTTATCTCAAAGTCAACGCGTTGCATAACTTTGCAGGCAGCTTGGACAGAAGGACGCAAAAGCAATTAACATTTTGATGGCACAGAAGTCGTGTGTTTTTCTTTTTAGGTGTCTCTGTTTTGTCGCCAATTGGATTTGTTGTTCTTCCTGCTGTTTTTGTTGTTTATGGTAATTAAAACGGGGTGCACTTAAATGTTGCATAAAAAATGCTTCTGAGTAGGCTTGCTGAACACGTGCCAAAAAGACGGAGAAGTAGAAGTCGAGTGGAAGTGCAGCGGCAACGTCACTCAGCCGCCCCGTTGCCCTGCGCATATCCCATAGATACATAGATACACAGATACTCTGCCGGCGCAGTTAGTGCGTGATTATTTTCAAATTCGACACAGTTTTCTGCGTGAATTGTTTTTGTTGCCCATTTTATTTTTAAACAATTTGCCTGTCCGCCAGTCTTGAGGGGCTTTCCCCCTCTCTCTCTGTTGGGAAAGTCATTTTCGATGTTTTCACCGAGTTTTTCCTTTGCGTAACTGCTCCCTTTGGGCAGTTTTTATGTAACCTCTTGCCGATCACTTGTCGCTCTTATAGATACAATTGTTGATAGACCGGTGGCTAAAAATAAAATGTGCCACTTTGTCGTTGTCGTTGTCTCTTTAAATAGCTGAACACTAATTAAAATGTCAAAAATCGCGTTATAAGCGCTTAGGTGAAGAATTTATGCACAATTTGGCTTAATCCAAATTTGTTTCGCAAATGTTCGCCATGGAATTTTCAAAGCCAATTCCCAAATGCCATAAATTTTAGGCAGCGCAAGTGAATGTCACGTGATAATAACTATAATCTCATACTTAATGATAAGTCTTCTGGCATGAACAATCAACTAACTTATCACCCAACATTCTTCTCATTGCAGCTCGTCAAAAATGTTGGCTAATCAAATGTTGGCCACCTAGAAACCAGCTGAGATTGCTCCATTCATCGCTCCCCAATTTTTATCGCGGGAATATCTGACATGACAAGAAAGTCATTGGCGTTGATAAGATGCATTATCAGCGGGGAAGACGAAGATGAAGATCCGCAAAAGCAACAGCAGCAATTGAAAAGTGTTAAACAAGTCTACGATATGATAACCTAATTTCCTGCCAGGAAAGAGGCGAAATAAGATTTTTACCCAGAGTGAGACTCTTTATACAAAGCAAAGTCAGTGAGAAAATAATAAAAAAAAAAAACGCAATCGAAACGAAAGTAAAAGATTTCTTAAACGGGGCGTTCATATGTTTCAACGACATACGAGGGCGTGGCGAAGTCGAAGGCCCAATAAACTGGCAAACAAACAATAAACAACAGGCGTTACAACAGCGACTGGCTCGAAAATTATAAACATTCGGATTCGGAATCGAAGTCGGGCGGAAAACAACGGCTCGAGAAACCCCTGTGAACCGAAAGTGGTGATCTTTGATGCGAAGAAACCTGCGCTTGGACTGGAGGGCCCTGGCGCTGCTGGGCGCCCTCCTCTCGTTCATCATCGCCTGGCCGGGCCTGGTCTTTGCGATGCCCCTCATGGCCATGGACAACTCAACCCTATCCACATCCACATCCACATCAACACACAAGCCCACATCCAACAGCACGAACAATAGCAATCTGTTTAGTAATAGTTATCTACAAAGTGATCATAGTCGTAGTAGTTTAGTGCCGAGCGCAGTGAGTGAACATAGTGTAAATCAACCCGCAAATCAAAGTATTAAAGCTGAATTTAATCAGAGCTTAAGCACGCATCCAGAACACCAATCCCAATCCCAATACCAATCCTCATCCCGATCCCAGGAGGAGGACTCCGATCAGCTGGAGGATCCGCTGGGATTCGTCATCTCGGGGGCGGCGAACGAGCACCTTGCGGTTTTGTCGCGTACCGAACGCAGCATTCGTCACCAGAATCAGCAGCAGCAGAAGAAGCATCACCATGCGCAAAATCATCATCACCAGCAGCAGCAGCAGCCACAGTCGCCCGCTGACAATAATTTCATTGGTTCGAAATCGAAAAGACTGAGCAACCCTAGAAGTAATCTAAACATAAATAGCAGTAGTAGTAACACACCCATCAGCAATCTGGACCGCAACGAGCGCTCCACGGTGCCCCAGTCCCACTTGGCCTGGACATCCCGCAAGATCCAGCTGTACATCAAGAACCACATACTCCAGATAATGCGTGATGGCGTTGTCAACGGAACCCAGTTCGAGAATAGTGAATTCAGTAAGTAGACAAGTAAATTACATAAAATAAATCTAATAGTTATTTGATTAAGTAACGAATTCATATAAATTGGTAACCTATTAAAAGAATATAAGTGATGTAGGTGTTTTAGTAAGTGCTCACATAATATGTTTGATTTAAAAAATATATTATTTTCATTTGGTATTTTTCTGACCTTGCAGTATTTTTCACACAAAATTCTTATAATTCCCAAGGCCTTTTTCCCTGAAAATTAAAAGTACAAAAATAAATATTTTTCTATATCAGGGATATTTCCAAAAATGTTATCGTCACCAGTTCTGGATATACCTTAAAAAATAAATGTACAAAAATAAATAGTTTTCTATATCGGGGATATTTCCAAAAATCATATCGTCACCAGTTCTGGTAATACCTTGCTCTGCTCACACTTCCCACCCATAATGAACTTCAAAGTGGACGCCACCCATCCTCCCGTCCCCTCATTACTCACTTATTCATTTTTGGTTTACTCTGAATATGTTTTATGTTCAATTTCTTTGGGGGCTTCTCTTGTTTAGTTTTTTTTCCGAACCGCCCATTCCACTAGGAACACTACATAAACAACCAAATAAACTAATGCCATTGGGTATATGAAATATTTAGAATATCAGAAATAATACAGGCCCACGCATACCAACACAGGGATATATATATTCGATCTTGGTGTGTGTGATCCAACTATATAGAGCACCCACAAGTTGAAAGTTCTCATAAAACGCTGCGAAGCTGCGTAACACGCACTGAGATCCGCCAAAGAAATCGTATATTTTGTGGGGCTCTCGTCTGTTTATGTTGGGCATCATTAAGTTAGACACTTGATTTGGCAATGCTGCGGCCTGAGCATTGTATTATTTGGCATATAAATTCTTTAGTGGGCTAAGGGCATAAATCTTGCCTTAATTAACCGCTCGCCCCGATTAGCCCGGCTCCCTGTGGGAAATGAGTCAGATTAAGTCTGATGAAGATAGCGATTCAGCTCATCATGAGGCATCTCCCTCCAGCCAGCATTTGCATAACTTTAGTTGGCCCCATCGGAATAATTTACAGCCTCATTTCCATTGACTTCCTTTCAGTCGGCCAGCAATTTGCAGCAGTGATAATAAAGCCACCGAAAAACTTGTTGTACAACTTGGGTCCGGTTTTCTCTTATCGGTCGAGTGCATCATCGCCATTGAGGAACATCGTGAGCTCCCCAGATGCCGCTTAGATAGCGGGGATTTTGTTTCGTCGGGGTACAAATTTTTTTAATTCACCATCGACGTTGTTGTACTTTACATACATGTCTCACGGTGCCTGGGCCTCAGGTGTTAATTTGATTTTGGACTCGATCAGGAGGCGATAATGCGAGTGGAGTGCGATAAGATTGAAATTGCCGAATAAAAAAGCTCCTCGGATGGAGTGTGTGTGTTGTTGTGATTCGATTGTGGGTGTCGGTAAAGATTTTTATAGTCACAAAACCTCTCACTCTCCCACTTTCGGGTACTCTCACCCTCGAACTTGGGACTTTCACGGGCCAAATCAGTGGCAACTAACAAAGCAATTTGTGTTTATTAGTGACTGAGTGAGTCTTTTATGGGCTGTAAATTGTACAAAGTACACCAAAAATCAAGTCCAGGAACTATTTTTCGATATAGTGCTAAACTTCTGTTGGAGTGGCAATGCTTTATCACCTAAAATAAACTTCTTTCGCACTTTATATGTTCGGACAATAAGATATCTTCAAGATAACTTACGTTAGATGACAATATCTAATGTTGATAAAAGAGATCAGGGGATGAAACAGCGAAATATATAATTTAAATTGAAGAATTCAAGGTAATGCCTGCTTCTAGAAGCCATAAAAGATGTATGAATTAAAAAATCTCTACAAGACTAAGCAGATAATATAAATATTTTAAATTACTAAAAAATATATACTTAAATTACTATCATTATTTTGGTACTCTAGTCTTGTTTAACCCTTCATAAAACACTGAAATCGCCGACTACTGCTTCGAAATGAAGCTGTCCAAACAAAATGAAGAGTGCCAAATTTGGTGAATTTTCCACTCCGTCAGCTGGCATCTTCAGTGGCATTTCGCGAGTCTCATCAACCAGTTGACCTCCAAAAGTCGGGTGAAGCTCAACGCCAGTTGCAGTTTAAGTTTCCCGCAAATTGCAGCAGCGACTAACGGTGTCCGAGGGGAACATAGTATATACCTCGACCGGACCCGAACTGAACCCCAACCCAAGTCCGAACCTGGAAAAAATACACCTTTGCACTGGGGGCGTGCATACCATATTTTCAAGATGATATATGGAGAGTACTTGGCCCGGCGGGCAGACGGCAATTATGCGACTGATTTAGTGCGTGGAGCGAGGTGTGAAGTTGAGTGAAGCCCCAGTCAAAATCCCAGTAAAAACTGGAGCCGCTGGATGCTAAAAGCTTCCGACAGCATCTTTTGATAACTTAATTTACAACACGTCGTTTGCGGCCCCATGAAGTTGATGAAGTTGCCCCGACAGTTTGGCCAACATTGCATCGATCCAACCGCAGTTACTTTCACTGTCACTCGGCTCTGGACTTCACCATGTTAATTGTCTTTTCAAATACTAAGTCTTCTATATTATTATTTATTTATGAGATTTTATTCGGGACAAGCCTTCTCTATTGTAGAAGGCGTTCTAGAAATATCAAAAAATGTCTTTGTTAAATGTTTAGAGCGTAAAAAGTCAACAAACGTGGCCTTTGTCGAGATCTTTTTCGGGAAAGTGAACTCGTTAAAAATCGGTCTCTTCCATGGCTCATTTCTCAATTAACTTTCCAGGGTTTTTTATGTCTTGCTTAGAATTTTTGTAAATTTAGATAATTGCATCAACTTTAATCTCCCGAGAGCTTGATAAATAGATTCGGCACGGCAATCAGGCATGAAAAGAATAAAGGAAATTTCAACATAGTATTCCAAATGGCCGGACCATTATATCACTTTCGGCACATAATACGATAAATTAATTTTACACAAACATTTGGCCGCTGGCTACGTCACGGATCCAAGGCAATCTATTGAGCGATCTAGCTTTTTCGGGCTAGACGGCGGCGAAAATTGTTGTGTTGGGATTTTCAGATTGGACAAAGTGGTATAGTAGTGAAAGATGTTTATTTTGGGGGATATTAAACAGAAGTTTAAATACTCTATCGGGGATTAAAATTAAAAAAACATTTTCAATGGGGGATTGCAATGAATGGTTATTTTTTCTAGTTATGATAATATCTTTAGTAGTCTTAAAAGTTTTTTTTAATATTTTGGATTGAAAAATCAGCATTATATTTTAATCGTTATAAATCGGATGTTAATATTATTATAAAGATTTTAAAAGCTAGACAATAGAGTAAATAAATTTTAGACCTACAAAAACAGCTGGTATTCCAATTTAAATACCATTTGATTAAACAAATTCAAACGTATCTTCTGAATACGAATTCATATATGTATCCACCGTACACTTTTCCATCTGCCGGGTGGTGATCAACTTTTGGAGATCCGCATTTCGGTGGATATATCTGCGTGTAAGTGAGTGGGTGGCGGGTGGATGAGGAGACAACACTTGACAACCTATTGTCAGCGATGTGGCTCATCATCAGTCAGCGATGGCAGCGATGGGAATGGTGGTGCCGGTAGTGGTGCTGATTTATGCGCCGGGCAACATGGGGACCTGAAAATACTGCGAAAGTGTTTTGTTTTAGATAAGATTATGCTCCATGGTTCTCTGCGGAGCAAGTGGGACGGCAAATGGGCGAGCGGACGACGCAATATGTCAAATGGATTTACCAGCAAGTCGGCGTGGGTTAGTCTTTCGGATGGAGGCTCTTCCTCTGCAAATGTTTTTCCGGCAGCCGCTCTTATATTTTCTATATTATTTTTAGCCAGGTGGCAATGAACTGTTTGGTCTCTGGTCTTTGCTCTTCTCCACCCCCCTTTGTCGGTTATATAAAAAGGTCTAGGCCAGATATGTTGCTCAAAAATATGGATGATATTTCGATAATATTACCCCCATCACCGCCTGCATTGACGACAATGTTAAATTATGCGTAAATTCGAAAGACAGAGAAACATTTTGTAAAAGGCCCCCGAAGTCGTCGATGGTTTATGAAGCTGGCCCCGCTATATAAATTACAATGATTAATGACATTTTGCACGCAGTTCTCGGCGGCTGTTGCTGCCGTGGTTATTGGCGTTGTTTTACAATCATTTTTACGGGCAATTCATTTTCACCCAGGTCGATTCACATTCAGGTCCGACCAGCAGATTTTTTCAAGTGGTGCCCGGTGGCACAAAAACCACTCCAAACATAACCATATTTTTGGCAATGAATTAAAAGTGAAGGGTGCGAGGAAAATGGGGCGTATGAGTAATATGATACTATAATTCTCATATAATATGATTTCAAGGGGGCTACCATTTTATAAGCTATTTTATACGTAACCAAGCAGATAACAATAGGATTTATAATTTGATTAAAAATATTAATAGAAATATGGTGATTATTATCAGAGATATATTTTCAATAACGTTTTTATTGATCTTTACCACTGAAAAAATATTTGTTATTAAGATTAAGGATAATACAATTATTGGTTACCTTGTTTTCATTCATAATCTATACTCTACTTTCCGAATCCTTTTTTTTCAATAAAACTTTCTATACCTTCTCAGCTACATAAGAATACATTACTCACTTCATTTATTGCATTTCTAGTAGAGTTTTCTTTGCATTTGGTTCGGTTCTGCGGTTCGCATAGCAAAGCGATATTTTTACCAGATACGTACCCGTCTATATAGACATTTCCATACCGACACGTTCATGGTCATTTGAGTCGTAAATCTGTGGGCCCAGACATGCGTTTTGCGGAGTTGGAAAAATTTGGGTTGGCACGAAATCGGATGAGTATCCAAAAAGCGGTCAACTTCACAGAGTCCATGGAACAAGTGGTAAACAGT